ATTTGACACTCACCACTCTTTAAAGTAGGTATTATTATCCTCAATTTACAGATACAATAGCTCAAACACAGATTAAGAGACTTATGCTGGACATGGTGGCACCTTCACGGAACCTCAGCACTTGGGAGGCAGAGGCAGGAGGATCACCATGAGTTCAAGGCCAGGCTGGAAATCATAGAGAGACCCTGTCTCCAAAAAAAAAAGAAAAGGAAAAGACTTCTCAAGAGAGCCTGAATGCTCTAGATTGTGATCAGTTGTTCAGCCTCAGTCAGTGCTTCAAGAAAAATGTATCATGGGTCCACTGCACGATGTAAAGTACAAGAAAGCACAAGTGGCCTCTGTCCTTGAGAGTTTACAATCTGCTCCAGCAGGCAGGACACACAAAGGACCAAAGTCCCCCAAAATACAAGGCAGGCCACGGGCATCAGATGCGCAAGTTCAAGAGCAAACCTGCCCTCAAACGTAGAGATAAATGCTCTTTTAAAACAGTTTGGGGATGGCTATAAATACAGTGGCAGCAGTGAGCGACAGCTAACGAATTACAAATTCAAGGGCTCCACTAAAGCAGAGGGGGATCTTAACTGATCAGGAACCCACTGCTAACCACCTGCATGTGGAAATCCACTCAGAAGCAAGTACAGGGACAGGAGGAGCCATGTACAGGGAGGTGGGGCTTTGGCACTCAAATAGGAAGTACACAGCCCAAGGTAGCAGCTAGGAACTGAACTGTCATCAAGGCAGCTGTGACTCAGGGAGGAGGATGGGAAGGAGGGGAAGGCGAGGCAGGAGAGGATGGTAATTACCAGGAGGGGGAGCGGGGCGGCCAGGGCTTGGGTACTGGCTGTAGGAATGGGGAGGGAGACAGGAAAGGAGGAGAGAAGGTGCCAAGAATACAGGCGAGAAGGAGAAGCCCAGTGGGGCTCCACGAACTTGAGCTTCAGACAACTCATTATCTCTTCTAGAATCTGTCCTCCCCACTCTCCGAGTCTGAAGCTCGTGTTCATGGCCTTCACATCCTGCACTATCCTCCTGGAGTCCCTTCTACAGTTTACCACATGATTATGATAAACTTCTATTAATCACCCCCGGTTATAAGCCCATCAGAGACTCTTTTTCAGATTTTTTTTGTTTTTGCTTTTTTTGAGACAGGGTCTCACCATGTAGTTGAGACTGACCTGGAACTCACTATGTAGCCCAGGTTGATCTCAAACTCACAGCGATCCTCCTGCCTCAGCCTCCCGAGTGCTGGGATTATAGGCATGCAACACCACGCTCAGCTCTTTTTCATATTTAAAAAAAAAAAAAAATCCAGACTCTCCACTCGATTCTCCAGCCCCTGAACAGTCTGGTCTCTCTTGATATCTTCCAGTTCCTTTCCTATTTCATTCTACGGGAAGTCTCACTGCCAGAGAGCTGGTCCCCCACCAAGTCCAGCCACTAACCAGGGTGATTATACAACTCACCTTCCAAGCTGCAATGCAACCGGAGGCTGAAAGAAATACTTAGGAGATGGCCAAGGGGCATAACAGGGATCATCCTGGATCACCTGGGTCACGTGGCCACTCAGTGTCCCCTGCCCAGCCGCATACAGGCCCCAGATCAGCCGCTGAGGAAGTCCAGAGTCCTGACTCCTCTCTGCGGTCGTCCAAATCTCCCCGCTAAGTCTCCCTGTTGTCTGGGTCTTTGGCGAATCCCTTCACACTGGTACCCTCGCATTAGGCTGCCTATGTAGCTCTTGAGGTGGCATCTCACTGTGACCGTCTCTCCCTGACCCAGCAGCCCCAGGAACAAGCCTTGCCCACCCAGCCAGCCTTGGACGCTTGTGCGTGAGAGCACGGCCACCGTACACTGTCACCGCCCGACATCACCCTGGCCTTGGACACCTGTCTAACTCCTTGCTGCTCTTCCCTCCTTCCTCTCCACTGCGATGTCTTCTCCAACCTCCTCTGCAGCCTCTATGTCTTTCAGCCCCATAGATCTGCCCATCGATTCTCACAAACTTTCTCCGGAAGCATCTCTCGCTGCCACTTGGTCAGCGACAGGCAAGGACAGTGGTGGTCAGAGGGCTCGGACCTGGGTCACTCTGGCTGCACAGTCTCTCCCATCCTCCCCTTCTTCAGCTCGGACTCCTCCCAGGACAGCAGACATGTGCACAAGGGCAAGGTCCACCTCTAATAAACACAGCCCACCAGCTCCCTAGCAACACGGCATTGACCTGCTTGTGCTTTCACTTTGTAATACACGTCAAATCCCAGAAGTCACAGCAAAAGCACAGAGACACCGATGTTCTCTACTACTGCGGGGTGATTAGGCAATTACTTGCCAACATTCGGAGACCTGGTTCCCCACTTCCCTCCAGTTTCCGAGGGCAAGGTAGGCCTCCTGACCTTCTCCTCACGGCCCTCAGACCCAGGTCCGCTTATTCCCTCCTTAACCCATCTCTGGGACTCACTGGCCTGACTTCCGGGATCACCACAGACTTTCCTCACCACAGCCCCACATCCTTCCACCCAACAGCACCCAATTCCTCTACCTACTTGACAACTGGCTTGGGGTTAAAAGGAAAATGGTAAAACAGGGCCAGGGAATTAGCTCAGCAGCACAGCACCTGCCTGGCAAAAGTGAGGTCCTGAGTTCGATCCCTGGTACCAAAAAAAAAAAAAAAAAAAAAAAAAAAGAAAAAAAAAA